CCGGACACAAAACGCCACTCACACAGCACCCCTCACCCACACACAGTACCTCTAACACACATACACAGCACCCGTACACACAAACACATACACGACATCCTTCACTGCAGTGTGTGTGTATTCAACTGTCTGGGGGTATTCAGCAGTGCGTGTGTGTATTCAGCAGTGTGTCTGTCTGTGTTTGTATAACGGAGTCTTTGTGTATTCAGCAGTCTGTATGTGTTTGTATTCAGAATCCTGTGTGCGTACTCAGCATTCTGTGTGCATATTCAGAATTCTCTGTGCATGTGTGTGTGTGTACTCAGCAGTCTGTGTGTACTCGGCAGTCTCTGTGTACTCAAAAGTCTGCTTGTGTGTGCGTATTCAGCAGTCTGTGTGTATGTATTGCATTTGTTGGAGGTACCAATAAATATAAGCTTGCTTTTATCGATAATTGATTTTTTTTTCTTCCTGTGAGGAGTTGTGTAGGAAGGGCCCCAGTGCACTGCTTTGCTCGGGGGCCCATAACGCTGTTAAGATGGTACTGCTTGTGTGTCAGTGAGCTTGTATTTAGTGAGCATGTGTGTCAGTGAGCTTGTATTTATTGAGCATGTGTGTGTCAGTGAGCTTGTATTTATTGAGCATGTGTGTGTCAGTGAGCTTGTATTTATTGAGCATGTGTGTGTCAGTGAGCTTGTATTTAGTGAGCATGTGTGTGTCAGTGAGCTTGTATTTATTGAGCATGTGTGTGTCAGCGAGCTTGTATTTACTGAGCATGTGTGTGTTAGTGAGCTTGTCTGAAGTAAGCTTGTGTGTGTCACTGAGCTTGTCTGTTTGTGAACTAATGTATGTTATATTGTATAGACACAGTTCTCTGACTGAAGCACAACTCCACATGGTCTTTCTATATTTGTACTGACAGTGTCACCACTGATACACAACTCACCTAAAAGTCATCAAATGTACCTGCCTGATATAGATGCTGTGCTGTGAATGTATATATCACATACCAAGTATGCATGGTACTGTTGGTGGGAACTTGGTATTATTAAGGTCTACTCAATAAAGAGAGAATTGCAGGGAGTTGAGATGGGAATTTCAAACTTTAGATCGAAATAGTGCAGCTGAATGGGCGAATTTTTCCAACTCTTCTACTTTGGCCTTAAGTTTAAAATGACCATCTCAATTCCCTGTAATTCTCTCTTTATTGAGTAGACCCTGTAACCTGCACTATGATAAGTAGGCGGAGATTAATTATGTGGGTTGGTCAGAGTGGGCAGGGCTTTGTGGCAGTGGGTGTAGTAAATTTTCAAGATAGTAATTGATAGCTGTGCTGCAAAGTGTCCCTGGAATTTTTTTAAAATGTTGGCAACTATGACTCACTGCCAGCTACCACACAGGCACCAAGGGCAAAACAAAAGGTACGACATAATGCATTTAAAAAGTTTGTGGAAGCAGAGGAAGAGATCAACGGTTTCCTACGAGATTTTGAGCAACAATGCAGACTGTATTTAGTACCCCCAGCAGATTGGGTGCAAATTCTGGTTGGCAAGCTTTCAGGCCTTGCAGCAGAAGCCTACAGAGCCATACAAGAGGAAGAAATCACAGATTATGTGCGGGTGACGGAAATGATTTTGGAAGATATGCCCTCACACCGGAAGCGTACAGGAAATGCTTCAGGGAGATGCCAAGACAGGAGAAAGACACACAGAATGGGCCTGCTGAATGCAGCGAGCAGCCCTAGCCTGGTTCCAAGCCAACACTGGAGAGGTGATCACACAGCTGATCCTATACGAACAATTCTACAAGGGGCTGAACCCAGAAATACAAAAGTGGGATAGGAAACCCACTACCCTGACCGAAGCTGCCCGCCAAGCTGATGCATATCAGGACGCTCGCAGGCAGCAGCGACCCAGTATCAGGCCAATGCCCAGACCCCTGAGCATCAACCCAGGACCGCCAGTACAGCAATCAGGAGTTCACAACCCCAACTCCTAAGCACCCCGAAACACGGCGCGCACTGGAATACAGTGTTAACGGTGCAAACAGGTCGGACACTACCGGAGGAACTGCGCCCAGAGGAGCCAAGCTTCAGGGATTCGAACAGAGCTACCTTCCCCAGCACGGGCAGTAGGCCACTACTATTCCGCTCACATGCAGCAACAAACTAACCTCTGACCAATGCTCAAGCCCCGGATCAATCGCCCTGGACCACAACTACTGCAAAGGGGGGGAAACTCCTCCAATTCGCAGGCACCCAGATACCCTTCTTGCAGTGGGGTACAGTGCCACAGTTGAAAACAGTTTGGGCACAATCGACCAGACTGTACCCAGAGCAGGAACCAAGCTGTATGGATTTGACCAGGGTCACCTCCTCAAACATGGACAACAGTCCCCTACTATTATGCAGAGGTTCCCCCACTGCGAGGGTCCACTTGAATTGGGGTGCCTGGTAAGGTCTGATTGATGTGGGGTTGATACAGGAGCTCCCCACCAACATCTTACTAGGGAACGACCTATGCCAGTTGACATCAGTGTTCCTGCTGTCCCCGATCCCAGGCCCACAGTCTCTGGGGTCACGGAAGGTAGGGGGATCCCCGAGAGGGAATTGCCGCATACCGACTTCGCCCAGTACCTTACTAGGGGCATACAGCGTTCGGCACACTGTACTAATTGCATGCGGTTTTTTTCTGGCCGTTGGTCACTCGGAACTGTGTTAGGCTCCCTGTATAGACACCTGCGGTGCGTTAGGAACAGTATCTCTGCCGGCCTCTTTCCATCAGGCCGGCAGAGGGTCGAGAAGCTCACATTAGGAACGCCACTTTCATCACTCTTAGCCACCACGAGGCCACATAGAGTGAATCACACTAATCCATCACAACGGTCCATACTTAAGGAATATACAGATAGGGGATATATGTATTCAATATAGATATATGTTACTTAGATTGTCATGTTTCGTTTGTGCATGCATTTTTATTTCTGTTTTGTACTATGCACACGTATAGATATGCCAAGTATCACTGGAATTATTAGTGAATACCTATACAGCTTAGAATTGCTATCAATAATCGTGTAGAGTTTTCATCTGTTCTATGTTCATGGTTCTGGTTATAAAACCTAGGTAATAGTGTTTAAACTCCTAGAGTAAATAGGGTTTTATTGGGGGGCATATAATCATCCCCTATCTTAGCAGACTCCCTCTGAATTCCAAGCCTCACATTTGGTTCTTTTCCCCGCAATTAAGCAGGTTCAGACTTTTCTTACACTTAGTATCAGTTACAGAGAGGCATATCGCCATCTGGTGGCAGTGTTAGAATATCTACAGATAGCAGTAATGGTACTGTTGCATGTGATAGACATTTCTGTATAGTAACAGGGTTCTTTATAGGAT